GGGCCGCAAAGTGCCTGCCTGGGCGGGCGCGCCGAAGTCAGGCGCGGAGGGTTTCGGGGAGAGTCCGAGGCCATCCGCCGCTGGGGCAGCACCTTGGCGAGCCGCGTGGTCGTGGTGCAAGAAGGCGCCGCCCCCGCCGCCGCTGAGCACGCAGTGGAAACGCAGGTGTGCCTTAAGGCTGTTGGGGTATCTAAACGTCCTCCAGCAGTACCAGCAAATGTAGCGCTCCTCCCCTGGGGGAGAAAGAGTGGAAAAGCGACCCCGTGAGAGGCGAACAAGCGTGACAGAACGAAAGCGCCAGCGCACCCAAGGCAAAGCCAAGGTTTTACCAGCGGTATGGGGAGAAGCCGGAGTATTCTTGGGTCCTGGCGAATAAGTAAGTTCGATAGCCCCCCCGGTATCAAGGACCCCGAAAAAAACCCAAATGGCCAATGCTTGTCACTATCTCCATCCTCTGGGACTACTTAGAGTCCAAGAGGGATGACCTGGGCCTTTCCAGCGAAGACTTCCTCTCGGCCATCCGAACAAACCTTCGTTGGGAGGGCAGCGCTCAGGCAGGCTGGCCGGGGAAGAGCAGAGAGCAGCTGTTGCTTTAAATCAAGTGTTGAGGCTGTGCTGTGCCTGGGCCCATCTGTTGGCGTTTGCAGAATAGGTGGCGTATGTCAAGGAGTTTGGATAAACTGAACAAAGGCTAATCTAATGGTCGTGAGCGCCTCATTACCAGGCGAGACAATATCCTGTATGTATGGGCCATATGTAATCATTCCTTTTCATAGAACAATGTCTTTTGTATCCACTATCCACCCATTTCACCCCCTCCCAGCCTTAAACACTTTGCCTGAGGTTTTCCTGGAGCGTGACCAACTGAAGGATCACATAGGGACTGTGATTTGCTATTCTTCAAAATTATTTGTATCTTTATTTCCTCTTTAACCCCATTTAATTTGATGGGAGAAAAGAAAAAAATCTTTATGTCTTATTCTATAAAGAATGATGACATTCTAAGAAAGATGATGTTGAATTATCTTCTTAGTTGTTCCACAAGATAATTGATTAAACCCTAGATAGCTGCACAAATCCAAGCTTAGTAACGTCCTTGGATAAGATAAACTGGTTTATGTTTTATTACATGAATATATATAAATGATATAGATAGGTATACTCAGCTTTTAGTAAGTGCAGAATTCTCAACTAAGCACTATATACATGTTTGGTGTCAAATCATTTTTTATGTGTAATAATATTAGCATTAGTTGTATTTAATAGCACTAGTCTCTTGAACACAATCGAGACACATGTATGAGACAGATCCTGATCATCTGATAGAAGTTAATGTCCACTCAAAAATGTCATATTACTTCTGTACAAGGAAGAGCAATCTTGAAATTGGGTTTCTTTTAAAATACGGTTTATTGAAAATACTGAAGGGAAGGATGTCTGTGACAAAGTTAGCTGAGCCACAAGGAAGTATCCAAAGTATACATCAATATCATAAGATTTAACGGGAAAGTTAAATTCTCTCTCCTTACATACAAGCAGCTCAAACTTCTAATCATTACTACAGAAATAACAATGGGGGAAAAACTCTGGATCTACTTCACTTCGTGTATATTAACTTCTGGCTTTGCATAAAGCCAAGTAGTCCCGCCCCCACCCACCCCCACCCCACCCATAACAAAGATAGAAGTTCAAGTGAGAAGCAGTTTATTCCAACTGGGGCCAAGGGAGAGCAGAAAGAAAAAAGAGGGAGAGGAGGATTTGCCTATGAGACCCTATCCTAGCCGTTTATAGAAGACCTAGACTAAAACCATTTCAATGTTCCCATTAGCTTGAATTGAACATCCATGTAAAATAATTTTTTTTTTTTTTTTTAAAGATGACCGGTAAGGGGATCCCAACCCTTGACTTGGTGTTGTCAGCACCACGCCCAGCCAGTGAGCGAACCGGCCATCCCTGTATGGGATCCGAACCCGGGGCCTTGGTGTTATCAGCACCGCACTCTCCCGAGTGAGCCACCGGGCCGGCCCTAAAATAAATATTTTTTAAAAAGAGAGAAAGAGAGAAAGAGAAGAGACTTCCTGGGTTCTCTTGATGGGCATTTTGAGTTGATCTCTTAAATAACAAACTTTCTTCTAAATTCAGAACCTCCCTTTCATCAGCCTTTCTTAAAGAGGGAGCTTTCAGAGTCTGCCCCAGAACAACTCAGCTCAATGCAAAGCCAAGTAAGCTTTATCCTTAAAACCAAGGGGCAGTATTATCCTTAATCTTATTAAGGAATTGAAACCTGCAGAAGTTAGCCAATATTGGAAGAATAGCAACCATCCCTACTTATTTCTTCCTCTTCCAAGATTTAAGCAAAACATGTTTTCTGATTCAATACGTCCTTTTTTCAGCTTATCCTAACCATCTGACATGTTCTGTAGACTTCGAGCTCCAAGTTATGCCAAGAGTATCAAAGATAAGTTTGCCTCCCCTCCTTCATGTAACCCTAGAGTGGTCAAGATTTCAGGAATCTCCAAGTTGAGGAAGTCAGGGTTCAAAATAGCTAATACCTTCCCCCAAAAGGCAAATGGTGCGTATTTTGACATCTGTTATGATCTGATGTTTATATGTTCAATTAGCTGAAATGAAAACACAAGGTTCACTACTCAAATAAGTTGCTTTAGCATTATTTGGGAGTGCTTAAGGAAGGGTGTTCTGTGTAGAAATGGCTGCCTCATAAAGGCCAGTGGCCCTCCAGATTGTTCTATAGGTGGTACTGGTAACACCCAGGTCAAGGGTTCCAATTCCCTTACCAACCAGCCACTAAAAAAAAAAAAAGAAAGAAAGAAAGAAATTGTTCCATAGTGACAGATCAAAGAGTTCTCCATTATGGGACTTTTATTATGTTTCTCATTTACTAAAATGAGTCACCAAGAGAATTTAATATAATGTGATGCAGGGAACAAACTATCTTAGTATAATTTTTATGAATACTGTACATACAAATCTGCCCACAAAATCAATAGAATTAATTTACAGAGGACAGTGATATTTTGAAGTGAAGTGACTCATTGTTCCGAATAAATTTCATTCCATCTTATTCATGAAGTGCTTCCTAATTCCCATCTTTGTAGTAATTTTTTAAACCTGTTTCTAAAAGGATAAGATTAGCAGGCAATTCAGGAGAAGAGCATGTTAAAATATTTCACAGCATTCATTATGTTAACTTAAAATAATAAGTGTGTCTTTAGAAGAAATTACAAACAATTGACAAGGAAAGAAAGAAAGCCATGGAAGCTTTGCAAAGGGAATCTCAAGATCTTAACTATTTTAGCACCTCCCAACCTTTCCACAGGAAGTGTTCTTCACTGTTCTATGGGAGGTTTGAAAATGTTTTCTTCTAGTTACTGCACTTAAATTTGCATAAATCTGCTCTTGGCTTTGGAAGGGATCAAATAAATCTGAGAAGAAACTGGGATACATCCCAGATTCAATTTAAGTAGGGACGGGGAAATGAATAAATACCATTTAAGTGAAAGGGCCTTGGTACCTGCCAACTGACCAGCTGTAAGTACCGTAATGCTTCTAAGATGCTGTAGAAATACATTGGTCTCTTCGAAAACCAGTCGAGAAGAGATGCCCTCCAGGTTTGAGTTATGTTCTTTGGAACTCAGGATGTAATTACTGTGACAATAGTTTAAGGCTCTCACTGATTCTTAATGGAGTAAATAATTGTCTCTTTAGGTATACAGTAGAAAAGGATGACCCCAGGAAGTTCATAAAGAGTTGTTCATTTGTTTTCCCCCATCGTGAGCCAGATTATAATGGTCACTGTTATCATTTACCGTTGACTTTAAGGAGGTAGTGGTGACGTTGCCTCTCTGCCTACATAGGGAGTGTGAATTCAGTTTTACACAGCTTGAGAGAAAGGTCCTTCAAGTCTGGGGAGGTGCCTCGAAACTGGAGGAGGGCTAGACTCTCGCCCACCCACGCTGGCCCGGAGGCCCTCTCATAGGTTATACCTTTCTCGTCGTGAGTCGGAGTCGCCGTGGTGGGGATGTCGAACCACTGAGCCAAGGAATTGGAATACCACACGGTCAGCTCTTCCCCTGGCTGGACGTCTCGCAACGCTCGGTAGAAGATCTGGCACACAAGGAATTGAACAGCTTTCTGTCATTTTCCGGGTAATCGGTCAAAAAGCAACTGAGAGAAAAGGTTCAAATGCCGGCTCTGATGCTGCGTGATCCTGGAGAAGCACTGGATCTCTCTGAACCTCACTTCCCTCATCCTTCAGATGGGAAAACAGTAGCTATTTACCTTATAGGGTTGTTGGGACGTTTAAATGAGACCTCCAGCTAACGAGCTTTTCTCTATATTTGTTGGCCACCGCAGGGACGGTTAGATAGACAGAAGTAGCAGTGGGGAGGGTAAGGGGAAGCCCGCAGTACCTGTCCTCCTGGTAAGTCTGCAATAGCTTCCAGAGTCTGTTCCTGGGGGTTCCTGGCTGCCCGGATTAACCCTATCCACTCCAGAGGGGAGCCCCCCGATTCGTCCACCAGCTCCCCTCTCACCATGCGCACCTGCAACACAAGCAGTGGTCGTTCTCCCGCACACCACCACGGTCAGGCCCTCAACCCAGAGGGAAAGTTTATCCTCCACCCCACCCGATTCAGGAAAATGCTGTGTTGGCTTTGGTCAGACCACTCTGGGCTGCTAGGAGGAGGATAATTCCTTAGGACCAATACTTGAAGAAGTGAGAACGAAGGGAGGCTAGCTAGTATAACAGCACACACACACATCCCGTCCCCCACCTTGGCAGCCCGGGGGAGTGGGTGGTGAGGGCATCCTCTCTGAGCGCATCTTGTACGAAAACGTCTCCCACCCCTACCCGAGTTCTCCTACTTGCGGTTCTGAGAGCAGCCCTAACACCGGGGTAGACATTTCAAAGTCAGTCCCAAGGCCCAGAGAGGGCCCCCCCCCCATCCCCATCTCTCACACCTCCCTGTTCTCGGTGTACGGCATCTAGGTGCATGCGAGCCCGAAGCTAAAGTCTCAGAACAAAGCACGCAGGGAAAAGCTTGCCCGCAACTGGCCGGCCATTTAAAAGCAATTAAAGCGCGTTTAAAGAAGAAGGCGTGGTGCGCAGCAAGCCCGGGGGTGGGGGGTGATTACACGAGGAGCGAGATGCGGACCCCGCTGGCTGGGCACCAGAGTTATTTCTTGCAAGAAAGCTCTAGTCAGCGGCAAGCAAAAGCCACGGTCCTCCTTCCCCACTAGATTCTTGCCTTCATTTCCTGGTCGCTGTTTGTCGACCTTTGGCCGCTGGGACTCCCCCAAGGCGGGTGGGAGCCTTTAAATCCCCTTTCTAGTGAGGGATCGCGACGGTGTTTGGGAGTCAGAGCTGATGAGTTGATCCCGTTGCCTCCCGGTTGGAACCCTGGACTCTCAGAGTCCGGGTGCAGGCGCCCTGAACCGGTGCCCCACGCGGGTGGGAACCCCTGGAGCTCGCGTCAGAGCAACCACCTGGCTTAGCCTCTGTTCATTTACCCCCAAACCCACAAGCAGACATCGGCGGAAATAAAAATCGGAGGTTCTAGGAACTGAGAATTTCCCAAGGATTATTTTTTTCGGAAGAAATGGGATTAAATTATTTTAAGACAAATTTAAGCCTCAAATTGGGTAAGAAAAGTCCTCGATGCCCAAGTCCTCGATGCCCTGCGATCCCAAAGAGATGGTGCGTTTGCAGAGGGGCTCGGATTGGGGTGGGGGTGGGGGCCTCTGGCGCCGTGCAGAGGAGAACCCACAGCGCTGAGGAAACTGCTAGTTCCGAGTGGTCCTGGCACGTACAGATCCCAGTGCACCCCACCTGGGGGCTGTTCCCTTTCGGCCACGTCTTTCCCCTCAGCCTAGCCCACGTCCAGCTCTCAGTTAATAAGACTTGCTAGGAGTCCCCTTCAACACGGCAGAATTAGCAGGCAACGACTCAATCACCCCCTTCTTCCACTTCCCCTCTCTACCCCTTTCCCGGGTCCGGGCAAATGGAGGCGAAAGGCAGGGGGCGGAGATCAGAATGGCAATACCTTTTTCTTGGGCCCGGGTTCCCTGCGGTCTGACAGGTACTTGCCCAGCTTGAAAGTGCCTGGCACAGGCCCTAGGCGCAAGCCGGCCGGGATGCAGCAGTCCGCACTCACGCTGGTGGCCGGAGCGCGGGCTGCTCCGTGCATTGTTGCCGCCACCGCCAGGCAGGCGCTCGGGCGCGCCGAGTTCTCCGCAGGGCGCGAGTGACAGAGCCCGAGTCGCGCGCGAGCCAGGGAGCCGCGCCCCGACGTGCGTCCTCCGCCCGCGGAGTGACGCGAGCGGGCATGCACTGCGCCTTTTCAATCAGGGCGGGAGCCTTTTGGCATTGCGAGCGCAAGGGCGCGGAGTTTGGTGAGAGAGTTGCGCTGCGAAGCAGCTGCAGAGTCCCACCCGAGAGGGTCACATGGAGTGGTTCCCTCAGCCCCCTGCATAATCGAGGCCTCTGAATGGCTAGTACACAATAGTCCAGGCGACCTTCCCATTCCTAAAAATCCAATTTGTCAAGGGCGAAGAAAAGGCGCTGGTGAATCAAAGGTCCGGCGGGACCATTAATCCTCAGCATGGGGTATTGTTCCCGAGACAGTTACGATATTTTAAGTGACAAATCCACTGTATAATTTCTCCATAAATTTTACTTCCTTTTATTGTTCGCCGACAAACCAGTTTTGGGAAATAAGTGACTACTTTAAGTCTACTTGGCTGATTCCTTTGAGCCTTGATCTACTTCAAAGATTTTTAATTCTCTTCCCTTGGCTTTATTGTAAAGGAGATTAAACAAAGAGATGGGGACTGTTTGGAAGACTTGTTAACTTCTATTGATTTCTGGCGTGTGCCATACAGAAATTAGGCAGGTACTTGATGGGAAAACACCAGAAAATACCTACACTTTTTAAATAACCACCATATTACCATTTCAGGGGATTGGGTTCAGACCAGTCCTCTATTTGGAACCACGTTAATTGTTCCCTCTGTCCCGTTTCGCCCCGAAATATGAAGCCTCCGGACCAATTTGAGAAGGCGAGGTCAGTTGTGCGTTGCTGTTCTCGGGCGCACCCCGGGCCCGCACTTTCTCTGGGGAATGGGAAGCTGCTGCAGAGCCAAAGGTTCGCGGGGGATCCCGCGCCCCGGACCGCACCTGCGGGTTAAAGAGGGAGAAGTTCTGCGGGCCAGGTTATTAGTCACGTCCCACCCCACCCCACCCCCACAGACGACAACGGATGGACTCAAACCCTGACTTGCTTTTAAGTCTAAAACGGGGAGGAAGTCCTTGGACTATCTCCCTCAGGACCAACAAACTGGACTTTTCTTTTTTAAATAATAACAACAACAAAAACCACTGCAGTCTGTCAGGGATCACCCAGAAGAGGGGCAGGGTGGGTGTTTGGGATAACCCTTTCTTGTGCCCGGTTGGTAAACTAGCAAGATGGGTACCTCTGAGTTAAACAGTAGTACTCCCGTTTTCTTTTAGGGGAGCTTCTTATTTGCGTGAGGACATTTATTTTCATAAAATAGCCGAGTAATCGGGTTCATCAGATATTTGTGACAGTTCTGCTGGCACCTACGGCACGCAGCTAGTCGTGGACGCAGCTCCCCAAATCCTATACAGCCAGCACGCGAGCCCAACGCGGTTCTTCCTGGAGAGGCCTGAGTGGTGCTGGGTTTCTAGCCTGGTGTTAGAGGCTCAACCACTGTACAGGAGGTCAGAGGACCCAGAAGCAACGACCATACTCACTTCTCCTTGGAGCTTTACTGGGTGAAAGAGCAGTCCTCCGACTGCGAGTAGGAGTGACTCTGGCTCTCAAAAGGAGCTCGCTGGAGACCTGTGTTTGTCACACTGGACAGGGACAGGAGATTTGGAGTCATTCACTCTGTGCTCTGCCACTCAAGATTCGGGGAACCTTCAGTGAATTACTTCGGAGCCTCAGTCTCCTAATCTGTGAAATGGGAATGATGGACGCAAACAGACCCTTGGCTGCCTCTTCACCGTTCACTCCTGTTTGTTGGGAAGGTCAATAACAACGAAATGTAGAGTGAATGTACTCTGGAAGGTCTAAAACTCGTGGTTTGCAATGGAAAAATCCCCGTCAGGTCAAGGATCTCAAGTCTAAGCATCTCAGGTCTGACCGTGCGGGTACTCACGGATGGCTGGCCTCAGTACCAATTTCAGGGCCTGTGTAGACACGGCTGCTTCGGCCGCGGAGGCTGCCCTCGACAGAGAGGAGGGAGCTTTTGATCCGCTGCCCATGAATGGCAAAAGCCGGGGGAGGGGAGGAGAAGAGGAAGCCGCTCCGAAGAGTCGAGGGCAATAAATTAAAGCCATGAACATGTCCCTCTAACCTCTGGCCTGGCGACTCCGGGATGACACCCAGTTTAAATTACCAGCACTGAGAGCGGGAAGGGGTGAGCGCGGGGCCCGGGTTCGGGGCGCCTCCCCGGACCTCCTTAATGAGTGAAAAAGCGTGAACGACACGCGAACAATTTTATCAATAGGACCATGTAAAGGCCGACTGTGAGGAAAGTTATTTATTAATATAGCCAATTGTGGCTGGTTCCCAGCCCCGCGAGAAGAAAGAGACTGCGCCAGAGGCATTCACACCAGCTCGCCGAGTTTTATTCTGTCCTGTGGCTCAGAGTTGAAGTTCCCCAAGTGAAATAAATTGTCCACAAAGGAGGAAAGGAACACATTTTCTTTTATTTTTCCTCCCCTAAAAAGCAAGGGTGAAACCAATCTAATGTGCCCAGTGGAGCAAGATGGGCCGTGAAAGGCTGGGTGTTAAAAGTAAAAGCGGGCTGTGCAGCAAATGGGATGGAAAATTAAATGAAATTAAATAGCTTGAACGGCCGTATTGTCCCTTATTAAAAAGACACATTAATTACATGGTCTCAGCCTTATTCAAAGACAATGTTGAGACTCAATCAAAACATTCCACTTGGCTTTTTTATCGACTTAAAATGGGCGTCCAGAGGCCCAGTTAAAGCGAAATCCCTCCTACACCGAGGTGCGGGGAGAGGTGGTTTGGGGGGCGATCCTGCTCCCTGCCCACCGTGGAACCGCGCAGGCACGGCTCCCGCCTTGGTAACAGGTTGTCCCTAATGAGACTTGGATGCTGGACAGCAGCCACTGACTGGAGGACAGGCTGCAGGGAGCTAAGTCCCACCACTGTGCTTCTTTCAGACCCGGCTGCGTTAGGAGGTCGGCCGCTGCATTGCGAGTCCTCACACCCGAGCGCGGGGCTAAAATGCTGCGGGCGCCGAGCACGTGTGACCTGACTGGGCTCCGCATAGAGGAAAAGAGCCCCCAGAGGACTCCGGGGCTGAGATGAGCGGATCCTTTCAGAACACACTTCTCTAGACTGCCCATCTCTGCCGCGCAAAGGCCTTGGGCTTTGGGTCACCAGGGGGACCCGAGGTAGCTGCCCCCTGGGGCCCTTGGCCTTGGGGCCCGAATATTGAGAAGTCACCAAATACCACCCCACCTCCAAACCCTGCTTCGGGCGCGCCAGAGTCCCGAACCTAGAGAAGGAGGGAGCTGCGCGGGGTTAAAGATTCTCGAGGCGAGGCGACTGCAGCGGTAAAGGTCTGGCGACCCCGCGTTCAGGAGCTGAGTTTAGGCCTGAGGTGGCCTGGGCCGCGCCCCCACCCCACCCACCCCCGAGGGTGTTCCCGCCGCCAGGCTGGCGGGTCAGCACGGACCAGCCTCGCAGCCCCCGAGGGGCGGGTGGGACATTAAGGCCGGGTCTGAATAGGGCGGGGGCGATGGGCTCTGGGAAAGCCACCAGATGACACGCCGGCGACGGGGCCATTTTCCCTTTAATTGCGTGGCCGGTGGATGCGGGGCGGCCGGGAGGCTCCAAACTCGCAGCCAGACGCAGCCCGTATACCGCTGGTGGGGTTTGTGGTGTCTTTTTTGTTTTTTTAAGTCCTCCATTGGATGCGGCTCAATAAAAGTATTCAAAGTCCCTCTCAAGTTGCCTTTTAACCGGAGTTCCCCAACTTATTTCTTGGTTCTTTCGGTTGACATGGTGCAAAGAAAAGTCAGCGAGTGCGTTGCTGAATTGCAATGTCTCGGGGCACCCCCACATTCAGCGCTTCTCTGCCGGCCGCTGCCGAATGAGTCCTCACTCAATTCGATTTTCCTTGCTGTTGGGCACATTTAGGAGCGCCTCTATTTGTGAAGTTCATTTCTAGGCAAATGTATTCAAGAGCTGATGGGAATGAATAGGACCGTGTGTCAGCCGCCCCTAATTGGGATTAAAGCACTTAGGAGCATATGCAGAGAGTGACAGAAATTCTCAGGTTGCATTGTGTTCAGACTTCCACCCGCTCCGACACTCCTCCTCCAAGGGAGATTTATAAAGATTTCAGGGAGAAACTGAGGAAAGAAAAGCGAAACGGAAAAGAACCAGGCTAATGGCTCACGGTGGGGCTGCTGCCGTTCAGCAAGTGGTGGTGACAGCTTCTGAGAAAAGATGCTGGGGGATAATTGAACACGGGCAGGGGAGCTGGTCTGAACACTTTAATCAGAAAGGCAGAGAGTTAAAAGGCGAAATAAAGATATTCTTGAGATTCCCAGACAGTTTTTTCCCCCTTTTCTTTTTTTCTTCCCCTTGAAAAGCCTGGCTTTATTTCTCTCTCTGCCCCCCACCATCAGACCTCCCCCCAAGAGCATACCCTGTCTTGGAGCAATAATAAGAACAATTTGGTACTTGAATTAGAGGAAGAAAAAGTCACACACACACACAAATCTTTTGTATGTTAAAGACGTCACACCCAAAGAAATCAATGAAAATATTTCCTGATTTATGTGTGTGTGAAATATATACACACTGTCTTATAACACAAGCATAATGAGTGTTCATATACATCCAGACTCTTTATGTAGATATATAGTCTGCTTGTAAATCTCCACACAGAGGGGACTGCTGAGGCTGGGACAGTTGTCTAAGCAGAGAGCAATGACGGCCTCTTTTGCCCTTGAGGAGCTGAGAAGCCAAAAAGAACAGATGAACACTGAACAAAAGAATGAGGGGGAGAGAAGATACTTCCAAAACTATCTGGATTTCCTTGTTTGTTTCTTAGTTTGTTTAAATCCTTCTGAAAACGTGGGTTCCCATGAAGGTGTGGAAGATTCTGGGTGTCTGAGCTCAGAATAGGAGAGAGGCTTCTCACTTTATCCCTTTCAGTATCACTTTGGATTTGGTACCATTAGAATAGATTTCAGGTTAAAAGTTATTCTTGAGGTTAACGTTTGTTTTGTTTTGTTTCATGTTGTTTGTCATTGCATGG